CTTTTTGACAGAGTGTGTTGGGTTTATTGTGAACATAGAGAGAGAAAATGCTCTGTTTCTTTCTCGTTAAGACTTTCTCTCTCTTTTACTTCATGATACGTAGGTGGCTCTTGTTTCAAGATTTTCTGTTTTGAAAAAAAACACAATTCTCTAATGATCTCTATCTAATTTGTCACACGTTTTGTTTGCATATAAACAACTTAAATAAGATAAATTAACAGATAAAATGCATTGTGGTACTTGTAACTACATGAATCAATTGCTGACTCGAGAAACTATAAAATTAGAAGTTTAATTGTGTTGTAGTAAGCATTGAGTTAATAGTAAATGAGAGACAAAAAATTAGAGATGTGATTGAATAAACTACCTGTGTATGGGAAGTGAAGTCTAAAGAGAGTAGGCAACACAATAGGCGAAAGCTAGAGGAGACTATTGAGGTTATCAATGTAATGCAATTCCCAATAATTCAACCATTATTTTGTTAAGGGTTTACGGCTAATTTACTTACTTTTAAGATGATTATTGTGAATAATAACGTACTGTGTCCTCTTTTCCAAAAATGAAAAATTAGCATATGGACCTAAAGACATTGATGGTGTGTGTGAGTAGATGTGCTACCAATCACTACAGTACCTTAATAGATCCTGTAAGAGAAATCAATGCGTTCAGGACCTTAAAGAAAAGTGCATTTAAAAATCATTATTAGGAACAAAGTTAATGTAAATTACAATACATTAATATCAACTTCATGTTTCTATGGTCTCATGCAGATTAAAGGCCATGTTTTCTTTTATTTATCTTGGGATATTTTAAATCTAGACAGTACCATGAAGACACAATAATGGTATGAGATCTGACTAAACATGTTCTTGGGAACAAGACAAATTAATCTTTAAGGTATAGAGAGAGAGAGATATGTGCATGGTTTGTCGTAAACGAAAGAAGAGGGTAGTAAATGTAAATTGTGGGCTAAAAACGGTCAAAAGAGACAGAAGAGAGATTCGGTTTTTGAGAAGAGACAGAAACAAGCGAAGCTTGTCGGATAAAGAATGGATATAGAGAGGAGGAATTAAAGAAGCATGCAAAAAAATCTCACACCAAAAAGCAACAACGAACATTTTGTAGAGAGAGACATGTGAGAAGTGTGTGTGTGAAGACGTGTCTAATGGTTCAGAGCCGTCCTTTCTCTGTGTACCCGACCGGTCTAATCTGGTCAAGCTCTGACACAC